TAAACAACACAAGTAAAAAATAGAATAGTTTCATAAAAGAAGAACGCTCTTTGTGTGCCTTCTTTCGTGAAAAAATCTACTCTATACTAGCGTTCCTGCTAAATACGTAGTTTTCCATTACAAGTATTTATTTCGATACAAATTGCCCTCAAATTGTTTGTAAATAATCTATAATAAAGAATTCCCAATCTAACATCAATTCACATTCTTTATTTATAGACAGAGACTTTTTTGAGAGAAAAATACTCAACAAAGACACCACCATAAAAAAGGAGTACAAGAAGAAGCTGGAAAGGTAACTAAGGATATTCTTTGAGTGTTTCAGCGAGCAGGAATACCAAACATATATGTTAATATTGTATCATATATCAAGAACAAATATGAATAGGAATCTCTAATTTTGGATGGGTCCCGATCCCTCGTGAAGCCAATTTACGTGTTTCCGCAGCATATATAATTTTAAGTCTTAATAAAGATATTTCTCGCTAATGATAAAACGGCGCCAGCAATGTAAACTTCTGCTATTTTGTTATATATTTCATTACCTCTCGTTGTAGCATTCTGAAATATGGCACATGTATGTTTATAATTTGTAGAACCTCCGCTCGGGAGATTCGGAAAAATATTTCCCGAAGTGATTATATTCCCCGAGGGCTTTTCCCGATAATGTGGAATAGACAAACACAACAGTACAAAGCCCGATAACAAAGGTTCAGAAAAGTATTCGAAAAGTACTCGAAAAAGGCGTAAAATATTAACGTAAAATGTATTTTGACATTAGTCAACTTTTTTTGTGTTTTCTGCTTTCTTTGTGTTTTCGTTTAGAATACGCTTAATTTTCTCGTCAGAATCGTTAATTTCTTGATTTCAAACAAACAACAACACTATTCCCGCCATTTTCTTCCTTATTCCCGCGTGGCCACCACGCGTTTTTCCGCGAATTGATATTCACCGGTGAATATGAAAAAATCTGCCGCTGCAGCGAATACGGAGACGTAAGAGTGATACGGTGAAAATTTTCATGATCACGTGGCAAAAATCTAACTTTCTCATTGGACAATTTGAATTTGAGGTGTAATATTCTTGAAAATTCCATGGAACTTTGATATTACCCATCACATATGAACTTTGATATGACCCACATCATAAATTTCTTTGAAGGTTCCCAAAGCATTCGAAAATTTGAAATGTTAGTATAAAGCCCACTATCTCGTATCTTCCCATTTAGGTTACCTTGGGTAGAAAATTTTATGGTGGTTGATGGACATGGTAAATGCAATGAACGTCATTTACAAATTGTCTGCAAAATTGGCGAAGTACCCCGTACTGTTGATATTAAGAAATTGTTCCACGAAAAAAGATTTCCTGTAATTACCTACAAGAAGCGTAAGTTCTTTTATTCAAAATATTCTGGCAAGAAACATTTTTATATTAGTGTTCTTTTGCCCAATTGCATCAATAACTTGTAAAATGAATTCACTTACATTATTTTCTTACAATAAATTTGCCTTAACTTTATAAATTTTATAGTCTCGAAGACTGAGTGGTTTGAAACAAATATTCTCGATAAAAAATTTAAAATGAAAGAGGAGTACGAGTGTAAACTGTTAAGGTAACCGACGATGACTGAAAACAAGCATGAAGAAGGGGAGCTTTTAACAGCTATCATGATCATCCAAGCATTTGAAATTGAAAAACTGTAAAGGGTTCTTACAACAAATACGGTTTGGTTACCACGCTATTTTATCCAATCATATTGCTTCGTTTACGGGGTGCCTATGATTCGGACCGCTAAACCGGACCCGCTTACAGCTTTTGCAACGGTTTTTACCGTAGTTCGAAAATTTGAATTTATGATTTTTTTTGTGCAAATCGCGTACAAATTAAAATTATATCTGTGATTATATAGTCAACTTTTTTAAAGGAAGTTCATTGCCTGCCTTTACTAAAATTATCCCGATTTTTTCATTAATAAACATGTTATTTATTGGTTTTGCTCTGTAAAACACACATCAAGAGAAACCGGGCCTCGTCATGAATATACATGTATTTCTTTTTCCAAACTAGTAATATTTTTCTCGGTAGTATTTTTAATTATTTTTAATTATTGTTAGGTGTAGTGAAAGCTAGAGTATGGTGTTCAATAGCTACATATCTTACAGGTTGGAATGGGTTGAAAGTTTTCAACTCGTCGGGGAATCCAAAAATCGCCATGTAGAAATCGTTTACGAATTCGGCAAAGCACCTCGAGTTCCGGACATCGTAAATTTGTTTGGAGAAAACATCCTTCCTTTCATTAGATATCGGGAAGGTTCGTTTTTCCCGCTATTTGCATTGCTTTATATATTGTCGTTGGCCTAACACAATTTGAAAGACAATGTATTTGTTATATTCACCAATAGGATCCAAAAATGAATGGTTTGAAGAAAACATACTTGACGAGAATTATGACATGAAAGATATTTATCTCAATGAATTGATAAGTGAAAGGTACTAAAACTATTTAGATTTGCTATACGCCTAAATGGAGTTTTAGGGTGTCCTCGCATTGTTATGAGCAGAACCGATGCGCAGAGCGAACTCACCTTCCACTTAACAATTTTAAATCCTTTGAGTACCATTCAAACTAGCCATATTAACATACTCATTTTTGCCGTGTTTCACGTGGTTTTTAGATTCTCATGGGTTAAAGATTTCTATATTGGTGTCACAAGGCATCCAGAGAATTCTTGGCAAATATACATCACCTACGCCCGCGACAAAAAGCCTTCGATGAAAGACATGAGGAAATTGTTTGGTGTTAACATTGCCTCGTTCGTTGATTTTATCCCAGAAAGTAACGCTGATGATAATGAGTTAAGAACTTCCTCTTGTTTTCTTCGCGCACCTTGTTCAGGTGACCCCCTCTACGTCAAAAATGAAGAACGCGGAACAATAGCAATCCTTGCCACACAGCTATCAGACACAGATGACCATTACGCAGTAACCTGTTACCATGTCTGTTACTGCGAGAGCGAGTTACCTGACAACATAAATGATGCACACAAGAAACTAAAAGAAGACTGCGGCTCAAAGAACTCAGCTGGTTGTGCTGGTATCGGGTGGCATTATATTAACGAAGATACAGAATTAGGAAAATTTGAACGTGGCTTATACAATGACAGTAATGATATCGCCCTTATCAAACTTGCATCGGGGCTAACCTGCGATGACGCCACTACTCTTCTTAAAGATGGAGTTGAATCAGAATTGTTAAGTAAAAAAGAAGTAGGGCAATTATTTAGCAAGTACATGAAAAATGGTAAGTTGCCCAAAGTAAAAAAGTATGGTTCAATAACTAAAGAAACGGAAGGAGAACTTATTGCACTGTCTGGAGTAACTGAAAATGAAACTAAGCCAGGTATGAATAAAGGCTTTTACAGAATTCAAGGAACAGGTGGTAGTGCCTTTGCTGAACCAGGCGATTCAGGCGCTTTAGTGTATATTGTAGATGAAGGCAAAAATTTGCCGTTTGCAATTGTGAGCAATCAAAACGAAAACAAAGATATATTTTATTGTCAAAATTTACGTAAAGGTTTAGAGGAATTGTGTTCAGAGATTGAGCCTTGTTTAAACCAATGTGGTCTAAAAATCACTCGACTTCACTAAGAATTCACCCCCAAATTGTCTTGGACTTTTCACATTTTATCATAGAAATTGCACCTTATTATAGGGAGACAATTGTATGCATACACATTGTAATATAAGCGCACTAAAAGTCTTAGCATGTAAAGAAGCCTTGTAAATGGCCATTAATCAAAACTCAGATTATCAAAGTATTTGCAGCGCTTTAAATTGTGGTTGCAATTGCTTGGGTTCAAAAGTATTAACAATGATGTGAACGCAATGATAGTATAGAATATAATGGCACCTTGTCACTGCTTTGAATTGGACAATGTCTAATAGACCTTTTTCACAATGACGTCAAACGCGGAAAGTCTGATGTTACACGAAGTTTGATTGGCTCGATAATTTTGTGGAGCCAATCAAATTTCGTGTAACATCAGACTTTCCGCGTTTGACGTCATTATAAGAAAGGTCTATTGCTGTAATTTTGCACACTGTCATTTAAAGTTTTCAAGAGAGAAAAAAGAATACAAAAACTTCTATGCGTCAAAGTCAATTTTTAATTTCCATGCATGTTTACATTACATCGCATTACTCAAGCCTTCGAAGTGTACAATATCAGCATTATACCCCATAATATCCCTTTCTAGCACAGCCAACACCGCAGCTCACAGCACCCATCAGATGCCACCTTCTGTTCACACTGCACCCCAATGGTCCCCCGCTGTCCCCTTGACAGGAATAAATCTTCCCAGTGTGGTAAACATAACCACAGCTTTGCTTACAAACAGAGGTATCTTAGCCTGTTTTAGAATTGCTGGGCCGGAGCCATCTTTCTCCAAGGCAGCCCAGCCTGTAACTCAACATTTCGTTCCTCCAGTCAGGTTAAAGGAAGGCAGGCAAATGGGTAGGACCCGATACTGTACTTGATGGAGGGTGCCATCTCAACAAAAATATATATCATAAATTATTCTGACTGTCTGGGTCGTACTTATTATGCAGTCCACCGCCACATACACACGTTTAAATAAAAAATTGGATCGTTTCGGCATATCTGTTCGTGAACTCGTCGAGTTTTCTCGAGTTTTCAGCGAACATTCACAAAAAAGACGCTTGTTTCGACTTACAAAAACTAGTTTCGAAATTTGTTATTTGTGGAATGCAGTGCTTGAATGATCATATTTATACACAGCAGCAAATACAATTTAATATAAATGGTCGCATTGATTCTGAAAGGCTATTACTATCGACGTCTAACAAACGTACATATATACCACCGAATGTATATACAGCAAAGTATTAAAACCATTGACGAGTCCGTGGTTTTAAAAGACACAAATATTATAGCAGATACATTCACGCTGAGTGCTCAGTTTGATCATTGGAATGTTATTATGACGACATTCAAAACCAGTGAGCTGTACAAAACAGTGGAAGCTATAAAGCTGAACATGGATGCCATAGATCCCGAATTATGTCGGTAAGTACTAACTTATATGTTCTGATATCAACATGACCAAAATATTACGTAAACGTAACGTAAAAACTATTGTTGTCAGTCAGAAGACGAGAGTTTGATGTAGATCTTGTTTAAACTTGCTGTTGTTCATTTAATGACACTATGGCGTCATTCAATATATAATAATATAATAATCAAAATAGAAAAAAGAAAACACATCCATAAACAACATTTTTGTTTTAATCAATCGGTCATTATCAAAGCACTGCTCACCATTTTTCACGGCACTTAAAGACGTGATTTTATTACCTTAAAATGAAACCTTTTCGGTCATGAACTCTGATATCAAAACCCGTGATGTAAACAATATTCGAACACTATATGAATCGCGTTGCACTTGACTGGATGTGGAACAATGTCTAGAGTGTGATGCCTTGCGTACATGTCTTAATTTCGAGTGAAAATAATACAAAATTCAATATTAAGCAACTGCTAATTCTTCCCTTGGAATTGGGAAAAATCACTGGGAAAAATTCGTAAAAATCGCGTCGCATTGGCAAATCGCGCCAGTGTGTGTCGGCCTTGATGTTACTGACAAGAATTGTTGTGCAAGATTCATATAATTATGTGGCTGGCGAAAAGTTTCTGAACTACTTTATATTTTTGTATTTTACAAAGCATCGCGAAAAGTTTATAGCTATTGCGTCAGCATAGAAAGACGGTTCAATAATTAACAACATATATTGGTCATTCTTTTTAAAAGTTATTGTTTCAAGACAACATTATGCAAATAGATTGTGGAAACGCTGAACATGTTTCACATTTATTCGAGTATCTCGTATTTCTTTAGTTGAGGCGAATATTTGTCCAATTTAGTATTCAATAATACAATTTAATATCCTACAAAACAGAGTGGTGGCAAATTTGCATTCCGACCAAACTACTGTAGTTGTCCATGCAATGATATATATTTTACATTGTATATCTACCTTGACCTTGTACATTTTCGGTGATCTCATTCATAGAATTATTAAATTGTTTAGTTCCGAACTATTATGCAGAGAGACGACGGACCTGGGGTACCTGGACGAAAGGTAGGTTATTTCATTCACATAATTAACTTGAGGGCTATATATAATAAGTGCAAATCAAAAGCTAGCTTCGAGAAAAGGAATAAAACCAAGAAAAGCAAAGAACAAAATCGCTTGACAGTGAATAGTCAAATAGTCGATCCAGAATAGTGCAGCTTAGATATCAGCGTAAACATGTTTTCTTGTTTTAAAGGTAAAATATTAATGAGTTTACAAAATGTTGTTTCATTACCAGAAAGTTGCCACACGACGAGTGTCGCATGCATGTGTACTAATTTGTATTCCATCCTTTAACTTTTACTATAAAAGTTTTTATCATTACTATATATGATATCAATTATGAGGTAAATTCTAAAGGTTTAAAGGGTCTTAATTTCGAGTAGAGTTATAGACACTTTGAACAGCCAGTAAAAGTTGATGGAAAATGAGTCAACTATCGGTCCTTCGGCAGGAATCAGTGGCAAGAGCATTGCACTGGCATCGCAAAACCGTTCGATTTCCAAGATTCGATTCTTGCCGGAGGACCGACGTTGACTCATTTTTCCATCAACTGTTCCTGGTTTGAATTTGAAGTGTGTATAATTCCACTTGAAATTAAGACCCTTTAAACCTCTAGAATATATGATATATAATGTAAATGTGTGAAGAATTGATCATCGAACAGGTTACTGTACAGAATAACTGAATAACTACTTCAGAGCTTCTATAATTATAGAGGAAACTTCCTCCAACATAGCCACTACAATAGACAGAGGGTCCTATATTTATGCTAGTGGCGCATTACAAGTTCTTTGTTTCAATCTATTGCCAATCCCATATCCATAAGCGAACAGCTTTATGCAAATAACTTGTGTAGGTCCTGAGAACTTTTTTCATTATCAAAGCAGCTCGCATTTCTTTAATTAAGGCAAATAACAGTTGTTTATTGATAACATTAATTAATTTAATTATTTGTTTTCATACAACTAAACAGAGAGTTGAGGAGGTTATACTCAAGGTTAGTTAACTTTCTTGTCATTGTAACTGTTCCATCAAATATGAAATTATACGCATAATGATATCACTGTATTAACATATGCCATTTCAATACCATGCAATTCACCATTCCATCAGTGTTGTATTTTCAGTTTATTTTTGCAACTCCCTACACAATTTCGCTGATCTTTGCGCTGTGTATTTGGAATGCAAGATTCTTCGGACTGTTCATTTGCTTTACCAATGCGGAATTCTATATTGTTTGGGACTATATTTAGAGCTAAAAGGCACTTATAGTAATCACACTTTTTCCATACTAGTTTATAGTCTGAATTAAGGTGCGTTTGCAGGGAAAAGTGCAAAGTTTGGCGATTTAACGGCTCTATACATTGTGATAAAACTTTATCGCCAAATGAATTTACGTCATCTCCCCGTATTAGCGCAACTCATTTTTTAGCAGGGCTTCGTGGCGAATGTTTTTCAATAAAATTTATCACATACAATTTAGTTTTGAAGGACTAAGCCGTCGCAAAGTTAAGTCAAGTTTTGATCTAGAGGATACGACACCGTATGTAGCCTAGTTTCATGTCATGATCACATTTTTGTCATTTGTTAAGCATTTCATGCATACATTTATCGGAACAACTCATATTACTTTAGTAAGTAAAAATACCTAGGCCAAAGCTTGTTCATTAATAAGATAATTTATATATTCTATAGTTTCCTGCCACCGAAAAATCAAGAAGCAGCGTGTATCAAGAATGATGAAGGTCAATATCACATGACCTCCTCTTAATTCTGACTTGTTAGTGACTCCCCGGACAACCCAGGCATCTTATTAAATGCACGCAACGGTATTTAAACCTTATCTTTTAATAGGGTCAAAAAATGAATGGTTTGAAGAAAACGTATTGGACGAGAATTGTGACATTAAAGAGGTTTATGTGAATGAACTGAAAAGTGGAAGGTATGGTTTTTTTAATAATTCTAATCAAAAAATATATTATTCTGAAGAAACCATCATCATACACTATCAAGATCACACACGAATTTTGAAGACTTGAAGTCATTGCTATACTGTAGAGTAAACTTTCCTTGATTTAGACAAGCTTACTACATATTCCTGTAAACTATAAATCGATTTTTAATTTAGCGTTTATTCAGTTAATTCCTTCTTATAAAATAATTATTCCCCTACATCGAGTTTTTTTATTTCTTAATTACTTGAAACCATCTCGTGTTTTCCTTGCTGGTCTTTACCGTAAAAAAAACATTCTTTTTAGATTCTCTTGGATAAAAGATTTCTATATTGGGTCTGATAAAGAAACAAAATCATGGCAGATGTGCATCACCTACGCTCGAAACACAAAACCTTGCATGCAAGATCTAAAGAACGTGTTTGGTGATAACATTGCCTCGTTCGTTAAATTCACCCCAGAAGGTGATGCTAAGAAGTTTCAATTTCTTCAAGCATCTGGTGCTGGTGAAATGAGTAAACTACCTACAGCCAAGAAGTATGGCCTGCAATTTGACGAAACAAAAGGAGAACGTTTTCCGATAACAGAAGATGAAGAAGGCGATGTTTTTGAAGAAGAAGACGGTTCAGGGGCCTTTACGAATCTATCATTTGCTGTGGTAAGCAGTCAAATTAAAACGTGTATTATTGTCCAAATTTACATAAAAGTATGAAAGACATTAAAGAAAGCTAAGAGTATATTTGGATCAACATTATTTCTTGCATTCATCAATGTGGCCGTTTCTAAACCGCAGTTGATAATTGTTGAATAATGTTATTTTTAAGCTTGCAATTTTTATTTTATTTAAGTGTCATTGTAAGCCTGCCTTAATGTATGATTGCAATAAGTTTCGTGTAACTTACACGCCAATAGGTAAGGGTACACATTAGCAATCTGTCGACGCGACCAGCGTGACAAAGTATAAATCGATCGTAATCACAGTAAGTCTGCACTACACAATTAAGAAATAGAAAACATTTTCCGTGTTTATACACAGTTATAGAAACAAGTGTACGTAATATTGTGTAAGCAATAATCAGCGGGAAGACGAGCCCGTAATTGTTTTAGTATACACCCTGTACCTAGATATATTAATTTCGAGAAAATAATCGATACACCGCAATTACACCGAAAAATAATTTAATTCATTCAATTTTATACGGTCGCGCGAGCGAATTTTTCATAAACGTTCACCATCACGAATAGACAATGGTTGAGTAGCCAATCAGAAAGTAGGATTTGTAATAGACAATAGTCGGGTGTATACTATGACTGTATAGAAGCACAGGAAAAAAATTTCTATTTCTTCAATTATATGACGCAATAAAAGATAATTCGATTCAATTACAAATTCTCATTACATTACTTCGCTTGTTAAGTTAAGGCGGGAAAAGTCCCGTGTTTTTATACAGTTATAGAAACACGCTTCTCGACCAATCAAGCACGCGCGTACTATAAATGTTATATCATAACAGTATATAGTTACGAAATTGCATTGTTCCAGCATATCTGTCATGAGATCGTCGCTGTTTAACGGAGATAATTATACGTAGATTATCGCCGACAATACTACCGACAGTTAATAGCATATTAATTGAAATATTCAACAATCAAAGCTTCGTTAAATAGAAATATTTTTAGAAAATTCAATTCCGATATCGATCAGGTAAATTTTAGCCATCATTTATTGTTTAATGATGACCATTTTACAGTCAAGACCTAGAAAGTTCAAAAATTTTACATCTTCGGTTACTTCTAAAAGTATACCCTAGTAAAGTTCCAGGTGAAAGAGAACCCTAAATTGAATCGTTGAATTTATCCAGGAGAGCGACGAAGAAGATGAAGAGATATCACGAACTTCCTCTTGTTTTCTTGACACATTTGAAGCACACAACAGACAGAAGGAGGACTACTGTACCTATGACGCTGCTGGATTTCTTGGTAGCAGGTATCATATTTATTGTATGGATAAAAAATCTGTATTGGGGCTGTTCGACTGTGGTGTATACAATAATATTGCTGTGATCAGGCCTGCAGCAATGCCACGTTTCTCCACTATATCGGGGAGACAATTGCATGGTACGTTCGCTTGCTTTTGTCGTTATGACTATTTTATTAGTTAAATAACAATAAGTAATAAATACCACTGCATGTGTTGCCAACTTTCCATCCTCCCAAAAGTAATCAGTTTCGTGGTGGCGCTGCTAGTTTCCTTATGCAATTCTAAATATGTGTTGTTTGGTTTACGAAATTAGAGAGTGCTTCTGGCCCTGGACTGAAGTTTTTTAATTTATAAAACTAATTATACGTTCTTTAGGCCTTGGTGCATGCCATGGGCAAGAACATGGTGTTTCGAGGATAGAAAATGCGAGAGGAACACTCTTTCAGGAAATTTGACGAAACGGAAACCGTATGCAAAAAGGTAATTGTTTGCGGGTTTTGGTCATCCCTGATATTTGCGTTATATATGTATAAAGGTTATGGTATTAATTTCATCAGTGTACACTGTTTGCTTTCCCATTTTAAAGTGTCGTTGCCAGTCCGCTGGTTGTCCTTTAGCTGTTTTTAGTAGGGACAAATATCTGGTTAGGAATTTTTTCATTATAAAATTTATCAAATATATTTTAGTATGGAAAGACTGCGCCGCACAGTTGCGCAATTTTCTGATCCTTTGGATAAGATATGGTGGTACGTTAGCTAAGGTTTTTTTGTCATGGTCACATTTTTGTCATTTGTTAACAAGGCATTGATAAAACATTCTCGCCAATTCAAACTTTTGATAGATTTATTGGGACAACTCATATTTCTTTAGTTAGTCAAGAAACCTTGGCCGAAGTTTGTTCATTAATAATATAACTTATATATTCTATAGCTCCCTGGCGAGGAAAAAAATAGAAGCTCGTGACAAGAATGATGAAGGTCAATAATACACGACTACCCCCTCCCCCTCACTCACTTGATTTGTTCTTGTTAATTAAATAACTCGACTTTAAACTAAATCCCAACGCAAAATTAGTTAGCGTGTATACGCAACGGTATTTAAATCTTTTTTAATAGGGTCAGAATATGAATGGTTTGAAGAAAACGTATTGGACGAAAATTATGACATTAAAAAGGTTTATGTGAATGAACTGACAAATGTAAGGTATGGTATCTTATTATACTAATCAATCTAAAAACATATTATATTAAGAAGCCATTATCTAATACACCATCATGATCACAGTCATCACACGCGAATTTTCAACCCTGGAATTCATTGCTATGCTGTATAGTGGAACTTTACTTGCTTTGCACAAGCTTACTACATGTTCCTGTCAATCAAAAATTGTTTTTTTTTAATTCAGCGTTTAACGTGCGGGCGTTTCCACTTTGATCGAAATTTAGTGACCTGAATTTCAGTTAACTTCCTTCTGATGAAATTATTATTCCCGCAAATCGAGTTTATTTATGTCTTAAGTATTTAGGTATTTTAAATCATCCTTGTCAATTTCATACAACTGTTTAAGCCTCATTTCCACAAACTGCATGAGCACTAATCGTGTTTTCTTTCCTGGTCTTAAACGTACAAAAAACATTCTTTTTAGATTCCCTTGGATAAAAGATTTCTATATTGGGGCTGATAAAGAAACAAAATCATGGCAGATGTGCATCACTTACGCTCGAAACACAGAACCTTGCATGAAAGATCTAAAGAACGTGTTTGGTGATAACATTGCCTCGTTCGTTAAATTCACCCCAGAAGGTGATGCTAAGAAGTTTCAATTTCTTCGAGCACCTGGTTCTGGTGAAATGAGTAAACTACCTACAGCCAAGAAGTATGGCCTGCAATTTGACGAAAGAAAAGGAGAACGTTTTCTGATAACAGAAGATGAAGAAGGCGACGTTTTTGAAGAAGAAGACGGTTCAGGGGCCTTTACGAATCTATCATTTGCTGTGGTAAGCAATCAAATTAAAACGTGTATTATTGTCCAAATTTACATAAAAGTATGAAAGACATTAAAGAAAGCTAAGAGTATATTTGGATCAACATTATTTCTTGCATTCATCAATGTGGCCGTTTCTTAACCGCAGTTGATAATTGTTAAATAATGTTATTTTTAAGCTTGCAATTTTTATTTTATTTAAGTGTCATTGTAGGCCTGCCTTAATGTATGATTGCAATAAGTTTGGTGAAATTTACACGCCAGTTGGGGTACAAATTAGCAATCTGTCGACGCGACCAGCGTGACAAAGTATAAGTCGATCGTAATCACAGTGAAGTCTGCACTACAAAATTAAGAAATAGAAAACATTTTCCGTGTTTCTACACAGTTATAGAAACAAGTGTACGTAGGAGTTTGGGAGAACGAGAAATAATCAGTGGGAAAACGAGCCCGTAATTGTTTTAGTATACACCCTGTACCTAGATATATTAATTTCGAGAAAATAATCGATACACCGCAATTACACCGAAAAATAATTTAATTCATTCAATTTTATACGGTCGCGCGAGCGAATTTTTCATAAACGTTCACCATCACGAATAGACAATGGTTGAGTAGCCAATCAGAAAGTAGGATTTGTAATAGACAATAGTCGGGTGTATAATATGACTGTATAGAAACACAGGAAAAAATTTTCTATTTTTTTATTTATATGACGCAATAAAAGATTTTGTACAAATATTATAATTCGATTCAATTACAAATTCTCATTACATTACTTCGCTTGTTAAGTTAAGGCGGGAAAAGTCCCGTGTTTTTATACAGTTATAGAAACACGCTTCTCGACCAATCAAGCACGCGCGTACTATAAATGTTATATCATAACAGTATATAGTTACGAAATTGCATTGTTCCAGCATATCTGTCATGAGATCGTTGCCGTTTCAACGGAGATAATTATACGTAGATTATCGCCGACAATACTACCGACAGTTAATAGCATATTAATTGAAATATTCAACAATCAAAGCTTCGTTAAATAGAAATATTTTTAGAAAATTGAATTCCGATATCGACCAGGTAAATTTTAGCGATCATTTATTGTTTAATGATGACCATATTTTACAGTCAAGACCTAGAAAGTTCAAAAATTTTACATCTTCGGTTACTTCTAAAAGTACCCTAGTAAAGTTGCAGGTGAAAGAGAACACTAAATTGAATCGTTGAATTTATCCAGGAGAGCGACGAAGAAGATGAAGAGATATCACGAACTTCCTCTTGTTTTCTTGACACATTTGAAGCACACAACAGACAGAAGGAGGACTACTGTACCTATGACGCTGCTGGATTTCTTGGTAGCAGGTATCATATTTATTGTATGGATAAAAAATCCGTATTGGGGCTGTTCGACTGTCGTTTATGCAATAATATTGCTGTGATCAGGCCTGCAGCAATGCCACGTTTCTCCACTATACCGGGGAGACAATTGCATGGTACGTTCGCTGGCTTTTGTCGTTATGACTATTTTATTAGTTAAATAACTATAAGTAATAAATACCACTGCATGTGTTGCCAACTTTCCATCTTCCCAAAAGTAATCAGTTTCGTGGTGGCGCTGCTAGTTTCCTTATGCCTTTCTAAATATGTGTTGTTTGGTTTACGAAATTAGAGAGTGCTTCTGGACCAGGACCAAAGTTTTTTAATTAATAAAACTAATTATACGTTCTTTAGGCTTCGGTCCATACCATGGGCAAGACTTACATGGTGTTTCGAGGATAGAAAATGCGAAAGGAACACTCTTTCAGGAAATTTGACGCAACGGACACAGTATGTAAAAAGGTAATTGTTTGCGGGTTTTGGTCATCATAACCTTTTTTTTATTAGCCAAAAATAATAATTATACGAAATACATTTGATAATTGATATTGACAATCTTTAATTCCGATCAAACGGTAATCAGGCTCGTGTTGACACTGCACGTGTAGCTACATTAGATGTGTAAATTTTTATAGAAATTATATATACATGCATGTCTTCCCGCTGATATTTGCGTTATATGTATAAAGGTTATGGTATTAATTTTATCAGTGTACACTGTTTGCTTTCCCATTTTAAAGTGTCGTTGCCAGTCCGCTGGTTGTCCTTTAGCTGTTTTTAGTAGGGACAAATATCTGGTTAAGAATTTTTTAATTATAAAATTTATCAAATATATTTTAGTATTGAAAGACTGCGCCGCCCAGTTGCGCAATTTTCTGATCCTTTGGATAAGATATGGTACGTTAGCCAAGGTTTTTTTGTCATGATCACATTTTTGTCATTTGTTAACAAGGCATTGATAAAACATTCTCGCCAATTCAAACTTTTCATAGATTTATTGGGACAACTCATATTTCTTCAGTTAGTCAAGAAACCTGGGCCGAAGTTTGTTCATTAATAATATTACTTATATATTCTATAGCTCCCTGGCGAAGAAAAATACAGAAGCTGGTGACAAGAATGATGAAGGTCAATAATACACGACTACCCCCTCCCCCTCACTCACTTGATTTGTTCTTATTAATTAAATAACTCGACTTTAAACTAAATCCCAACGCAAAATTAGTTAGCGTGTATACGCAACGGTATTTAAATCTTTTTTAATAGGGTCAGAATATGAATGGTTTGAAGAAAACGTATTGGACGAAAATTATGACATTAAAAAGGTTTATGTGAATGAACTGACAAATGTAAGGTATGGTATCTTATTATACTAATCAATCTAAAAACATATTATATATATACATTATACTAAGAAGCCATTATCTAATACACCATCATGATCACAGTCATCACACGCGAATTTTCAACCCTGGAATTCATTGCTATGCTGTATAGTGGAACTTTACTTGCTTTGCACAAGCTTACTACATGTTCCTGTTAATCAAAAATTTTTTTTTAATTCAGTGTTTAACGTGCGGTCGTTTTCACTTTGATCGAAATTTATTGACCTGAATTTCAGTTTTATTGACCTGAATTCCTTCTTATGAAATCGTTATTCCCGCAAATCGAGTTTATTTATGTCTTAAGTATATTTAGGTATTTTAAATCATCCTTGTCAATTTCATACAACTGTTTAAGCCTCATTTCCACAAACTGATGAGCACTAATCGTGTTTTCTTTGCTGGTCTTAAACGTACAAAAACATTCTTTTTAGATTCCCTTGGATAAAAGATTTCTATATTGGGCTGATAAAGAACAAAATCATGGCAGATGTGCATCACCTACGCTCGAAACACAAAACCTTGCATGAAAGATCTAAAGAACGTGTTGGTGATAACATTGCCTCGTTCGTTAAATTCACCCCAGAAGGTGATGCTAAGAAGTTTCAATTTCTTCAGCACTGGTTCTGGTGAAATGAGTAAACTACCTACAGCCAAGAAGTATGGCTGCAATTTGACGAAAAAAAGGAAAACGCCTTCTGATAACAGAATAGAAGAAGACGATTTTTTCGAAGAAGAAGGCAGTTCAGGGACGTTTACGAATTTTCCATTTGCTATGGTAAGCAGTCAAATTAAAACGTGTATTATTGTCCAAATTTACATAAAAGTATGAAAGACATTAAAGAAAGCTAAGAGTATATTTGGATCAACATTATTTCTTGCATTCATCAATGTGGCCGTTTCTAAACCGCAGTTGATAATTGTTAAATAATGTTATTTTTAAGCTTGCAATTTTTATTTTATTTAAGTGTCATTGTAAGCCTGCCTTAATGTATGATTGCAATAAGTTTGGTGTAACTTACACGCCAATAGGTAAGGGTACACATTAGCAATCTGTCGACGCGACCAGCGTGACAAAGTATAAATCGATCGTAATCACAGTAAGTCTGCACTACACAATTAAGAAATAGAAAACATTTTCCGTGTTTCTACACAGTTATAGAAACAAGTGTACGTAATATTGTGTAAGCAAAATATCAGGGAAGACGAGCCCGTAATTGTTTTAGTATACACCCTGTACCTAGATATATTAATTTCGAGAAAATAATCGATACACCGCAATTACACCGAAAAATAATTTAATTCATTCAATTTTATACGGTCGCGCGAGCGAATTTTTCATAAACGTTCACCATCACGAATAGACAATGGTTGAGTAGCCAATCAGAAAGTAGGATTTGTAATAGACAATAGTCGGGTGATACTATGACTGTATAGAAAAGCACAGGAAAAAAATTTTCTATTTTCAATTATATGACGCAATAAAAGATAATTCGATTCAATACAAATTCTCATTACATTACTTACGCTTGTTAAGTTAAGGCGGGAAAAGTCCCGTGTTTTTATACAGTTATAGAAACACGCTTCTCGACCAATCAAGCACGCGCGTACTATAAATGTTATATCATAACAGTATATAGTTACGAAATTGCATTGTTCCAGCATATCTGTCATGAGATCGTCGCTGTTCAACGGAGATAATTATACGTAGATTATCGCCGACAATACTACCGACAGTTAATAGCATATTAATTGAAATATTCAACAATCAAAGCTTCGTTAAATAGAAATATTTTTAGAAATTCAATTCCGATATCGACAGGTAAATTTTAGCCATCATTTATTGTTTAATGATGACCATATTTTACAGTCAAGACCTAGAAAGTTCAAAAATTTTACATCTTCGGTTACTTCTAAAAGTACCCTAGTAAAGTTCCAGGTGAAAGAGAACCTAAATTGAATCGTTGAATTTATCCAGGAGAGCGACGAAGAAGATGAAGAGATATCACGAACTTCCTCTTGTTTTCTTGACACATTTGAAGCACACACAGACAGAAGGAGGACTACTGTACCTATGACGCTGCTGGATTTCTTGGTAGCAGGTATCATATTTATTGTATGGATAAAAAATCCGTATTGGGGCTGTTCGACTGTCGTTTATGCAATAATATTGCTGTGATCAGGCCTGCAGCAATGCCACGTTTCTCCACTATACCGGGGAGACAATTGCATGGTACGTTCGCTGGCTTTTGTCGTTATGACTATTTTATTAGTTAAATAACTATAAGTAATAAATACCACTGCATGTGTTGGCCAACTTTCCATCTTCCCAAAAGTAATCAGTTTCGTGGTGGCGCTGCTAGTTTCCTTATGCCTTTCTAAATATGTGTTGTTTGGTTTACGAAATTAGAGAGTGCTTCTGGACCAGGACCAAAGTTTTTTAATTAATAAAACTAATTATACGTTCTTTAGGCTTCGGTCCATACCATGGGCAAGACTTACATGGTGTTTCGAGGATAGAAAATGCGAAAGGAACACTCTTTCAGGAAATTTGACGCAACGGACACAGTATGTAAAAAGGTAATTGTTTGCGGGTTTTGGTCATCATAACCTTTTTTTTATTAGCCAAAAATAATAATTATACGAAATACATTTGATAATTGATATTGACAATCTTTAATTCCGATCAAACGGTAATCAGGCTCGTGTTGACACTGCACGTGTAGCTACATTAGATGTGTAAATTTTTATAGAAATTATATATACATGCATGTCTTCCCGCTGATATTTGCGTTATATGTATAAAGGTTATGGTATTAATTTTATCAGTGTACACTGTTTGCTTTCCCATTTTAAAGTGTCGTTGCCAGTCCGCTGGTTGTCCTTTAGCTGTTTTTAGTAGGGACAAATATCTGGTTAAGAATTTTTTAATTATAAAATTTATCAAATATATTTTAGTATTGAAAGACTGCGCCGCCCAGTTGCGCAATTTTCTGATCCTTTGGATAAGATATGGTACGTTAGCCAAGGTTTTTTTGTCATGATCACATTTTTGTCATTTGTTAACAAGGCATTGATAAAACATTCTCGCCAATTCAAACTTTTCATAGATTTATTGGGACAACTCATATTTCTTCAGTTAGTCAAGAAACCTGGGCCGAAGTTTGTTCATTAATAATATTACTTATATATTCTATAGCTCCCTGGCGAAGAAAAATACAGAAGCTGGTGACAAGAATGATGAAGGTCAATAATACACGACTACCCCCTCCCCCTCACTCACTTGATTTGTTCTTATTAATTAAATAACTCGACTTTAAACTAAATCCCAACGCAAAATTAGTTAGCGTGTATACGCAACGGTATTTAAATCTTTTTTAATAGGGTCAGAATATGAATGGTTTGAAGAAAACGTATTGGACGAAAATTATGACATTAAAAAGGTTTATGTGAATGAACTGACAAATGTAAGGTATGGTATCTTATTATACTAATCAATCTAAAAACATATTATATATATACATTATACTAAGAAGCCATTATCTAATACACCATCATGATCACAGTCATCACACGCGAATTTTCAACCCTGGAATTCATTGCTATGCTGTATAGTGGAACTTTACTTGCTTTGCACAAGCTTACTACATGTTCCTGTTAATCAAAAATTTTTTTTTAATTCAGTGTTTAACGTGCGGTCGTTTTCACTTTGATCGAAATTTATTGACCTGAATTTCAGTTTTATTGACCTGAATTCCTTCTTATGAAATCGTTATTCCCGCAAATCGAGTTTATTTATGTCTTAAGTATATTTAGGTATTTTAAATCATCCTTGTCAATTTCATACAACTGTTTAAGCCTCATTTCCACAAACTGCATGAGCACTAATCGTGTTTTCTTTGCTGGTCTTAAACGTACAAAAACATTCTTTTTAGATTCCCTTGGATAAAAGATTTCTATATTGGATCTGATAAAGAAACAAAATCATGGCAGATGTGCATCACCTACGCTCGAAACACAAAACCTTGCATGCAAGATCTAAAGAACGTGTTTGGTGATAACATTGCCTCGTTCGTTAAATTCACCCCAGAAGGTGATGCTAAGAAGTTTCAATTTCTTCAAGCATCTGGTTCTGGTGAAATGAGTAAACTACCTACAGCCAAGAAGTATGGCCTGCAATTTGACGAAACAAAAGGAAAACGCCTTCTGATAACAGAATATGAAGAAGACGATTTTTTCGAAGAAGAAGGCAGTTCAGGGACGTTTACGAATTTTCCATTTGCTATGGTAAGCAGTCAAATTAAAACGTGTATTATTGTCCAAATTTACATAAAAGTATGAAAGACATTAAAGAAAGCTAAGAGTATATTTGGATCAACATTATTTCTTGCATTCATCAATGTGGCCGTTTCTAAACCGCAGTTGATAATTGTTAAATAATGTTATTTTTAAGCTTGCAATTTTTATTTTATTTAAGTGTCATTGTAAGCCTGCCTTAATGTATGATTGCAATAAGTTTGGTGTAACTTACACGCCAATAGGTAAGGGTACACATTAGCAATCTGTCGACGCGACCAGCGTGACAAAGTATAAATCGATCGTAATCACAGTAAGTCTGCACTACACAATTAAGAAATAGAAAACATTTTCCGTGTTTCTACACAGTTATAGAAACAAGTGTACGTAATATTGTGTAAGCAATAATCAGCGGGAAGACGAGCCCGTAATTGTTTTAGTATACACCCTGTACCTAGATATATTAATTTCGAGAAAAATAATCGATACACCGCAATTACACCGAAAAAATTTAATTCATTCAATTTTATACGGTCGCGCGAGCGAATTTTTCATAAACGTTCACCATCACGAATAGACAATGGTTGAGTAGCCAATCAGAAAGTAGGATTTGTAATAGACAATAGTCGGGTGTATACTATGACTGTATAGAAGCACAGGAAAAAAATTTCTATTTCTTCAATTATATGACGCAATAAAAGATAATTCGATTCAATTACAAATTCTCATTACATTACTTCGCTTGTTAAGTTAAGGCGGGAAAAGTCCCGTGTTTTTATACAGTTATAGAAACACGCTTCTCGACCAATCAAGCACGCGCGTACTATAAATGTTATATCATAACAGTATATAGTTACGAAATTGCATTGTTCCAGCATATCTGTCATGAGATCGTCGCTGTTCAACGGAGATAATTATACGTAGATTATCGCCGACAATACTACCGACAGTTAATAGCATATTAATTGAAATATTCAACAATCAAAGCTTCGTTAAATAGAAATATTTTTAGAAAATTCAATTCCGATATCGATCAGGTAAATTTTAGCCATCATTTATTGTTTAATGATGACCATATTTTACAGTCAAGACCTAGAAAGTTCAAAAATTTTACATCTTCGGTTACTTCTAAAAGTATACCCTAGTAAAGTTCCAGGTGAAAGAGAACCCTAAATTGAATCGTTGAATTTATCCAGGAGAGCGACGAAGAAGATGAAGAGATATCACGAACTTCCTCTTGTTTTCTTGACACATTTGAAGCACACAACAGACAGAAGGAGGACTACTGTACCTATGACGCTGCTGGATTTCTTGGTAGCAGGTATCATATTTATTGTATGGATAAAAAATCTGTATTGGGGCTGTTCGACTGTGGTTTATACAATAATATTGCTGTGATCAGGCCTGCAGCAATGCCACGTTTCTCCACTATATCGGGGAGACAATTGCATGGTACGTTCGCTTGCTTTTGTCGTTATGACTATTTTATTAGTTAAATAACAATAAGTAATAAATACCACTGCATGTGTTGCCAACTTTCCATCCTCCCAAAAGTAATCAGTTTCGTGGTGGCGCTGCTAGTTTCCTTATGCAATTCTAAATATGTGTTGTTTGGTTTACGAAATTAGAGAGTGCTTCTGGCCCTGGACTGAAGTTTTTTAATTTATAAAACTAATTATACGTTCTTTAGGCCTTGGTGCATGCCATGGGCAAGAACATGGTGTTTCGAGGATAGAAAATGCGAAAGGAACACTCTTTCAGAAATTTGACGCAACGAAAACCGTATGCAACTTTTGTTTGCGGGTTTTTGATAGTCGTAACCTTGTTTTATTAGACAAAAATAATAATTACGAAATACTTTTGTAATGACAGTCTTTAATTCCGATCAAACGGTAATCATGCAGGCTCTTTGAGACACTGCAAGCGTAGCTACATTAGATGTATAAATCTTTAAAGAAATTATATATACATGCATTCCCGCTGAAATTTGCGCTATATGTAGCTATAAAGGTTATGTCTAGAGGTTTAGGGGTCTAAATTTCGAGTGGAATTATATACACACTTCAAATTCAAGCCAGGTGGCAAGAACATTGCTCGCTTCAAAGAAATAATTGGATATAACATATCAAAGTCTAAGTTATTCTTTCTTCTGACTAATGAAAATCTTTTTCATTTCGATAACTTTACTCAGTAAGAAGCTACCGAAGTACAACGTACAAGTGCAAAGAAAGTTTAAATGTACAATTGCGGTCTAGTACACTGTTATTTTCAGGGTTATTTTAACACCACTTTTAAGGGATTCTAGGGGTGTAATAGGGGTGTTACAAAATTCCAGCTGAATAACTCCAAAATTGGATTTAAAATAACACCACGTAGAGGGGTTACACAATGTAACACCATTTTGGGGGTTAAAATAAGGACATTATACCACGTGACCAAGCTGATGCAATCATACAAAACGAACTATTTTGCAAAACCTTCGCAAGCACTGCTGGTTCCACAGGAGAATTGCCTGTATTTTTAAAGATAAATTACGACTAAAACTGAATTGAACGAGGAAGAGTCAAAGAAGGTTGGGAGATTTGCTGTATATGCAGTTGAAAACAGCAATGTACGTGTTTGAATATCCTTTTCATGCCTCTCGGAGTGCGACTGTTTACCTGCCGATTGTGGATATAAATTAAACTGCAGTTCGTGAGGTAAATTGTCTGTAATTTCAGTTTGAAGAAAATGTACAGTTGCTCAGCTATCCAGGATAGAAACACAATTGCGCTGGAGAAAAGCGTGTAATATGTTTTCAATATTCCAACAGAAAAACTTCAGCAAGTGTCGACAAAATAATTCAATACAAAACTAATGTAGGTTGCTAAATATATCTTGATATGGAACAGTTCATATTCTCATAGTCTAAAGGAAAATAAGGGCTTATATATGAATTAAATATATTTAATAGTAGGATGAATAGGTGTTATATAGTATAATATATCCTAAGGTAGGCAACTTCAATCACCATATCGAGATGTACACATGAAAACAATCCGAAAATACGTCAATTAATACCTAAAACTAATCTAAAATAACTGAAATCTACACTATTTTTACTATATACTGCCTATGTTTTAACTTTGAAAACAAGTTATAGAAGCGAGAAAAATGCGAAGTTTTTGAATGCCATTTTTTAAATGGGGCGTTGCAGGACCCGCGCTGTTGACGTTTGAAAATGACGAATTCGTAATCTCATTTTCCAAAAATGAGTAAAACATCAAAAACTTTTCGCATTTTTCTCGCTTCTATAACTTGTTTTCAAAGTTAAAACATAGGAAGTATATAGTAAAAATATTGTAGATTTCATTTCACTTGTTATTTTAGATTAGTTTTAGGTATTAATTGACGTATTTTCGGATTGTTTTCATGTGTACATCTCGATATTGTGATTGAAGTTGCCTACCTTATAGGATATAATTTGTAAAGTTTTTACAATGCCTTTGTTTGTTCTTTAAAAGAAAAATGTTTAGATTTCTGATGATTTATTACGAAACTTTAATATGAAGTTGTATTTGTGTTGTAAATATTGTAGATTGGATATAAAGTAATAAAATTTTGCTCAAATTTTTGTATGATTCTTTATTTCTTTCCGAATATTATAGCGGAATCCTGAAAACGGGGTTATTTTAACCCCAAAATAGGAGTTAAATCTAACCCCCAAATGGGGATTAAATTTCTAACTCCAGAAACGGTGTTATTTGTAACCCCCAAAAAAGAATTATTTTCGATTAAATCTCGTAACCCCTGTTTTTGGTGTTAAAATAACACCCTGAAAATAACAGTGGTATATAGGCTATAATTTATAAAATTCCTTTCTTGTTACACATCGCAGGCTATATATTCTGCCAAACGTCTGTGACAGGTATTTCCAACCGTTGTATAAAAAATTAATGACGTGGCGATATTTTCAATAAAAATTATGATTTCAAGTGGGGTCAACACGCAACTTAGAGAGATGCAGTGATCGCAATGAGTTGATCAGAGTTCACGCAGTGCGAGTTGAGATTTTTTGCTTGGTTGCATTAAAGTGCTGTATATAGCGTCGAAACATGTCAGGTTGAACCCTGCTTAATTCCTCAAAGGCCCTTGAGTCTCTGGTAAAAATGTAGTCGGTATATATACGACTGTGAAATATAGCTACAGAAGATTATGTCGCCGTGTGAGCCTCGACTCTTTCAAATCCATTGTGACATTCTTCACAGTAACGCTATGAAAATTTTAATTTAGGAAAATTTTTAGAAAAATTCTTCGCTAATTTAAAGAGTAAAGACTTTCAATATGAGATGTTTAACATCAAGTTTGTTCCATACCCTCCGGAAAAGAACCTACAGTTAAATTGAAACCTTGTTGCTCTCTGCATGGTATTTAGAATTTTGTTGCTCTGTACATCGTGTTTGGAATTTTGTTGCTCTCTGCATAGTATTTGGACAACTTAATTATAAGACAGTGCAAAAATGAAAGATAACGGACTGATTACTGGATAAATTTATAAAACTGAATTTCATGTGATAAATGAGCAATATATTAAATGAAATAACATTTCTCACGAAAAGACGCTTGTTTTGACTTGCACATCCAATAACAACAGTGGTTTGGAAACTTGTTATTTGTGGTATGCAGTGCTTGAATGATCATTTACAATAGTCAATATAATTTTATTATAAACATGGATTTGAGAATGCTATTCTTATCTATTCTTACAACAAAACATACGGCGTAGTATCGAAATGCTACGACTGACTAACATTGCCAACAACGTACAGAACAAGGACCAGTTCTATAAAGGCCTTAATAACTGATGCCTTTTTAAACTAAAATTAGCCAAGCTCAGCTTGATCATTGGAATGTTAATTGTTATTAAGACATTATTCAGAAGAAGTGAAATATTTAAAATAAATTATTTGCATAACAAAATATTGTTTTTCTCCGCAGGTATAGGCTTGATAATAAGTTTATCATTACTTTGGACAAGCAGCAGCTCGAAATTGGTTTAAAGTGGACATAGTCATTCGGGTTTTAATATCTGTTAGTGTAAGTAGTAACTTATATTTGATATACTAATGTAACAATTATTGTAGATAGAAGGCGACAGTACTATGTGAATATTGTATAAACAGGTCCTAGTGCATGTATGTTCATGACAATAATATATATATTTATGTATATTCGATTACTTCCAAGCGTTAAGGTAATCTAGAAAAAGAGCACTTTCATATGTATACAACATTCTTGTTTTTGTTACTCCATCATTATTAAAGGGAAAAGACCAGTTGGTAAGACGTGGTTTTATGAACTTGAATAAAAATATTCGGTTTTCAACGCAGTTGAAACGCGAGCATGCATGAATAATGAGATAAATAAATACGCATTTTGTTGTAGCACTTCACTCGATCTAGGATTATGATTTTCTCAAAGGGTATATGCATTTCGAGTGCAAGTGATACAAAATACAAGTTTCTAGTCAGTAACTGTTAGGAAAAGTCACCAACTATCGGTCCTCCGCCTACGCCTTGACAACATTTATAAAATACTTTTTAATAATAGTCAAAAAGTTCATGCATGTATCTGTTTCTCGTCAGACTTGGCTTATAGTCGTGTCATCTATAAGCATGGGAAGACATTTTCAATTTAATCAATGATAATGTCAAATACAAATTGTATAAAACATGGCACAAATTTACGCTTATCATGACCACACACATCAAACAATATTGTTTGTTTGAGCTTATTCGAGATTATTCAAAGAATGTATATGATTTGTGTGATGGCTATGCAAAATGCACGTTGCTGTATCTATGAAGTGGTTAAATTCTGATTAGAGGGTTCTATACCAACAGATGAGTTAGTTTCTTTGAACTATAACAACTATATGCGAATACAACAGAATGACTTAAATAGACCTCTCCCAAATTAGCTTTCAAGCGCGCAATGAAATTTGACTTTTAAAGACAGACCTTGACCAGCAGGCTAGCTACACGCTATGCCACATTATTGAAAGATATGAATAAATTATTTTTATGCGGCACTTGCAATACGAAAAGTCTTCTTTTAGTTTGATTTTTTGGTTTTTTTGGTGCGTCAATTTGATGTATAAAGGACTCTACTATGGCTTTATCTGTTTTTACTACACGAATTAGCTAGAAAGAGGGGAATATTTAGTAAATTATAATTGTACTATATATTAAAACAAGACTCTCCATGAATGATATTTTTGTATAAACAAACAATATTAACCACATTTTATGCAATAAAATGTTTGGATGATGACGAAAGTGTAAGTATTTTGTATTGTAAGAGCCTTTATGTTTGCCTTTTGACAATCGGATTCGAATTCGGAAAAACAACTCGATCGACGAAAACAGTACGGATGAAAGGCTTTAAGGTAGGTACATGAATTTACATTTTCGAAACAAGAATATCGAAATCCAAGCTGTTTAACTTTCAGCCAATCAGGAGGTTTCTAATTACCAGACTTAACATATTCAAATTTCGTGGATGTGCATAAACCGCATTGTTCCATCATAATATCTGGGAGTTTCAAATTCCAAGTTTTCAGACGGAATTAGTTCACAAAAGCATAATTCATCGCTAATTCTCTTTACAGGTGGTGGGATTTTTGTTGCTAATTTCTCTCAAGTCGTGTTAGTAAATAATAGAGACCCTTAGTTTGACGTTTACGGCAAACGCCAAACCGCTAACAAAGTTTGTGTTTTAACTCCACTAT